CATTCGGCTAAATCCCCTACTATTTTGAATAACATGGATGAAATAATTCCTATAGTTTTTGAGCAGGTTAGTGATTCACTTGTGGCCGATGCTAATGGTCATCGGCTTGTTTCTGAGGTGGGACATTTGGTGGTGCCTGATCTGGGTGTTGCTGATGTCCCCTTCAGGAGCTATGGTTATTTTGGACCCTCCTATGGCTTATCTAGAGGGGCCTCCTATCCATACAGGTTGCTCCCTGGTTTTCTTACCTAATATTGTTGAGAAGTCCCTTAATGGTTTTGGTTCTGGTGATAATCAGGTGGAGGTTTTGTTGGGTCAATGTGAAGTTAATAAGGTGATGGTTGTTGGATCCTCTAAGTTGGGTATTACATCTAAAACTTCTCCTTTAAATGTTTGGATACAACATTGAATGCGCTTAAGCATGCACACTTTGTTGATGTACCGATCTCTCTAATTTCAAATGATGCGTTGAAAGCTCATGTGGCTAGATAGTTGATAGGCTCCTCTATTGATCATTCTGATTGGATTGATGTATCCTCTAATAGTGGGGGAGGGTGGGGGTTATTTTGGATGATACGCTTGACAAGTTTCATGAATTATTCAGGCGGGTCATTTTGTTGATAAAACTTTCTCCCGTGGTGGTGGTAGGCGTCGTAGAAGAAAATCCAAATAAAAAAAGCTTCAAGCTTTTTTTTCTATTTGGGTGATTCCATTCGCGTTTGGTTTTGGATATTGGCTTTCCTTTTTTTTGGTTGTTTGGTGTTTTGGTTGGCTTTTGTTGGTTTGGATAGTGGTATTGGGGGTTTGTATGGCCCGGGCAATGATGAGGCAGTTTTTTTCTCTTCATCTTGACGGCTTGGCTTGTTGTGAGTATTTGTATTATGCCTGGTGGCCTTGCTTTGGGATATGAGGTTATGCTTGTCCAATTTTTGACTTCATTGGTGTGGCTTGATGTTGTTTTCTTCCTCCGGATAGCCCCTTCCTATGGTTTTGGTGGTTGCAGAAAAATCGCCATTACCTGAGCCTGGATGGCTTATATCCTAGTGTCTTCATTTATGTCTATTGTTTCAACGTGGCTATTTTGTCATATATGTGTTGCTTTGTTCGTTGTTGGACTTGCTTTTATCTTTCCTTTATTGTTGAAATAAATTCTTGTTTTAGGTTAAAAAAAAAAAGAAAAATGGTTAGCCCTTTGTAGTTATTTTGGAATATAAGTCCCTTCAATATAAATTAACGCATTTATATTCTCTATGTATTATTAGTCTAATTTAAGTGTCTCCTCTAATTGTTGTGTAGTGAAATCCCATTTATGTATTGTTTGTTAATAAATATAATCTTATGGTATTATGAGCTAAGTCTAGGCAACTTTCTCATTTATTTGAAAAGTTATAAGGCCCCAAAAATTACATTCCTTTCAAATTTATAAGATCTAAAACTATCATATCTTTTAATGCATTTTGAATCCTTTTATTTTAACTTACCTCAATTCATAGAGATATTTTACCCAATCCAAACTCATATTGACCTTTTTTTTTTACTTCTTACAAAGATTATCTTTTCCATTTGAATATCCTAAAACTTGATCTTTGACTAACTATCATTATTCTATCTTATGACATTGCATGCAAGTAAAGCTCCTTAAATGAGCATTTTTTTAGGAATCTTATATGGGATGCAATTAACTGTTGGAGTTTGCTCTTGAGATATATACACTTTGTTTTCCTTCTAAAGATTCATATGAGGGATTTGGGTTAGTATATTCACTTTTCATTCTAACCACTGTTGAATTTGAAATGCTTGATCAAAGAAGTATGTTGGTGAAGAATAAGTGGCAACTAAGCATTAAATGCAACATGAATTTCATAGTTAATTGAAATATCATAAGCAATCATGTATTTTCTTACTCAAATTAATTCATCTATTTATATATTTAATGGACCACTTTGCTATTCATTATTCAATTAGTGTGATGAGGCTATTAAAATCAAGGGATTAATTGTCATCTTTTATTGAGAGTACTACACATGTGAGTGATTAATTTTTTTTTTCCAACAAATTAAACATCAATTTATTCTCCCTCAATTTTTTTTTGTGAGTAAATATACTTTTTCTATAAAAGACTAAGTGGTTGTTTGGTTGCTAAAAAAGGAATTTAGTGTAAAATGAATGATATATAAAATAAATACAGTGTAAAATGAATACTTTGGAGTTCTTTGAATGAGTCAAAAATAAATGTATGTATGTGTGTGTAGGTTTAAAGTTGCGGTGGTGGCAGGCTGTGGTTTGTGGTGGTCGGTGGCAAGTGGTGGCCTACGGCTGTGGCCATCAACTATGAGTCTGTGGTGATTGATAGTGGGTGGTGGCAGTCGATGGTGGTGGAAGAAGGCGGGTTGCGGTGGTTAAGCGAGCTTGTTTACAGTTTAAATAGTTCTCGCTCAAAACTGGACGACTTTAGTTTACCTTAAGAATGAACTAAAATGATTTACACTATATTTACTTTAATTTACTTTTTCTTCCAAGAAAACACCAATATTTTTAAAACCTTTGCATTTGAAATACTTTACACCCATTTTACTTCCAACTAAACAACCCATAAGCAAGGAGCATATGAAAACTTCTAGTTGCTACTTAGATTTCTTATGTGTTAAATGTTGTAATAGACAAGATGTTTGTGATTTTTATTTGTGATTGTAATTTTAAAATTTGAATTTTGGCTTTTGAAATATTGGAGGAATCACATGAAGGAAATGTTTGATTGAAAATAAATGAGCTTGTTTGTTAAAAAAAAAAAGTCAAATTTTAAGTAGTTGGCTATCCTCCTTATTGAGAGAGGTGGTTACACTTTTCCAAGAGATGTACAACTATACCTTAGCACCTCTACAAGTGGGGCTAGTGGGCCAACACTAACTTCTTCCTCTATTTAATTTTATTTCAATTTCAAGAATTTGAAAACCTCTATAAATATTGTAAAATGAAAATATGTTGTTGTGTTGCAAAAAATGAATTTTTATCCAAGAAGAGGCTTGTTGGATAGCTCTTATATGATGAGGTTTGATGATTTCTTCAACCTTATTATTTTGATGGGTAGCTAGCCTATCTTAATACCATTTTAAATTTTCTTCTTTTTACTATAGAATCTTTCCATCCTCATTCCCACACCATTTCATAGCCCTTTTCCTTCAAATCCTCCACAAAATCTCTCATAAAGCAGAATGCCATAATAAGACTGAATCTAACCTAATTGGATTCTAACCTCCATTTGACCCCTTATAATTTAACGAAAATCTCCAGAATTATTCTTAAGAAATTCTTCATCAATTTCATGTATCTTCAAGTCCTCGAATGTCCACCTTCTAAAGTCCTAAAAGCTAAAACACCAATTATCAAAATACAGCCATAATTTTAACATTCCTATATTTCATCCTTCCATTCCAGCCCTTCCAATGGCTTAAGCATCAACCCTAACACATTTTGAAACCATCCAAAGACCAACATGGCAAAACACCAAAGGTTAAAACTCTTGATGTTGCCAACATCATCATCAATGTCTATATTTTAAAAAGTGTGACATTTTTAAACTTGGTTTCTTACTGTTTTCTAAAATAACTTTTTTGTACAAAAAATTCTTGAAAAGAACAAAAAAGTAGTGCTCAAAAGTTAGCCCAAACGAAGTTAATCCTCAATAATTCATAAAATATTCATAACCCCTCCCTATCATTCATTTCCCATTATGACACCCATTCATAAAGGTATAGAATGTCTTTACAATAAATAGGTGAGAATTTTTTTTAATCACAAATTATATTATTTGTTAAAATAATTAAATTAAAAAATTCTCAAAATTTGAATCGGCATTCACTAATTTAATTATTTTCACATATTTTTTTGTTTTTTTTTTAAATCTTTTCACACATATATATGTATTTATACATGTAATATATACTATTATTGAAAATGTCAAATACTGAATAAAATTCAGAGAGAAGGTTCTCAACCAATCTTTACAATAATTTCATTCAATTTTTTTATTCTTACTGTAAACAATATTATAACTACATTATATAAATTATATTTATTCAATTAAACAAAACAATTGACATCCCTATCAAGTTTTCTATTTTTTATCTTCATAACTACCAATAACTCTACATATATTGCATATCATCCAACTTCTAAGGGATATTTATTCAATAGAGAGAACCTAAGAGAAATTATAGGTAGGCTCCAAAGGGGAATGGATCAGGATAAAGCTAAGGTTGGGCCCACCCAATGTTACCAGACCTAAAGAAATCAGTAAAGCTAGCTCTCTCTCTCTCTCTCACTTGACCTAGCCACAGAAATTTCCTTGAAGTAACAGGTCTCATTCAAGAGCTGGAAAGCCTGTAAAAGGTTTGTGGAGAAGACCTTGGTAGAGAAACAGTAGCCCACATCAAGCCCTAGTAAAGTGAACTAAATAAGGCCTTTAAAAAAGAAAGCTTAAATAGGAAAGGGTGAGAGTTTTGGCATAAAATTTTCATATTAAATTGCTTAAACTTAAGAGCCAATTAAGCTCACATGTTGGACTAATCAAGATTAGATCAATTTTTAGCTTAAATTCAATTCATATCAAAGTTAATGATCCTTGCCTAGATCGGTTCGAGATCATCAAATCAAGCCTATCTTAAGTCAAACTTAGATTAGCTTGGCTTGGCTTGAGATCAAATTAATGCTTCATTTGAGACGGCTTTCTTCTTGCTTCTTAAAACAATATTTTAGTACAAAAAAAAAAAAAAAAACTAAAAAACTCTTTAAGAAGCAGTAAAAAAGCCATCCCAAACGAAATCTAAATGATTTTGAGAAAATTCTAAGCCAAGGTATGGCAGCTCAAGCTCAAATCATTAACAAATCTGTTCCTAATAGAAATGATCAGACCTTCCTAAAGAAACTTCAGTTCCATAAGGAAAGAAACAATATTCCAATTTGACACCACCCTTGGTGAGTAAATATACTAAGAGCCCACATGAGAAGAAACCACAAGAAAATGGAACATATAGTAAGATCAAATTCTTAGAACTAGTTACATGAAACTATAAACGCCAAGGGACATGGCTTCAAATGCCTCTGAAAATAGAACCCAAAATTTATACAGTTCGTTGTCCCTTAGTATGACAGGGGTAGTAGATACCAGACAATAGAATGCTATCAAAAGCACAAGAGAAGCTGGAAAACACACATAATGCAGCAAATTCTTCCATATCAGTTATATGCAACTGATATAAGTTTCCATATTTACTGTTTTCTTTGCTGTTGTCTGTCTGCCTTTCTTGTCTAGTTCAGGTAGTCACTTTATAATGATTATGGCATGAAATAATGGTCCAATATATATGATTATTTCTCTCTTCTTCTTTTCTTTTTTCTTTATTTATTTTTTTTAATTTTTGGCTCTCCCTTTGTGTTACACTTACTCAGTCATGCCTTGCCCAACACCAAAAACTCTCAGTAACCAAACAACTGAGAGGTCAAAAGTACTTCTGCCTCATTAATCTTCTCTAATCTCTACTAATATTTTGGCCATACCAAAAAGTTTCTCTAGCCAAAGAAGAAAGAGCTCAAAAAGTACTAATGCCTCTTTAAAATTGTCAGGAGAAATCTTCTCTACAATGATTCAGATAGGTTGTTCAGCTTCCTCTTCTTTGCTGCTGGAGAATTATTCTGAGAGTTTTCCTGTGGAGTAACGGTTTCATCACTCTTGTAGCTCAAGCATTTAGCATCCAATACTCCAACTGGGCTCTGTGGCACTGATGGGACTGGCAGAGGATTATCCTCCAGGATTCTAATATCGTGTATTGCTTCATAACAATGTATAACTTTCTCCTGCAAGCAATACTCAAATCCAAATCGGAATCAAAAGAAATCTGCCAAACTTACTCAAAAGATAAATGGAAACTAAGGGTTCGTTTGGGACAGCTTTCTTATTGCTTTTTACAGCAAAATTTCAGTACAAAAATTTTAATTTTTATACTAGAAAGCTGCTTTAAAAAGCCGCAAGAAAGCTGTCCCAAACAAAACCTAAAACTGTATTTGAATATTAGGAATTTGAGTACATGAAAATCAGAAATATTGGTTCAAAAGCTGGTTGTAGATTCATAATCAACTCATAAATTGTAGGGATTCTTTTCATTTTCACTAACATCCATCAATCCTAACAAAAAGCCTAAGTTTAATGCAATTCATTTACCTTCTTAACATAATTGCAACAACAACTCAAAGCCTTTTCAATGTCTACCATTTCTTCACCACCCAATGCAGTCATTACAACTGCAGCAGCAACCTCTGAAGGTCTGAATTCCAAAATTCCAATTCCTGCACTTATGATATCACGTATCAATTACAAAAGCATCCAACTCTTATTTCCTTAACTTTCTCAAGGAACAAATTTTCTGAAACCAACCTCTAATTGCTTTCAAAATTAGATCCACGCACTGGCTGAGCTCGAATGCTTCTGACAAATTTCTATCATTAAACTTGTTGAGGAAGTACTCGATGAACGAGAAAGGTGTCACAGATAGCATCCGCCATTTGAGCGTGCTAAGTACCAATAGCTCCATCCTTTGTATAGTCTTTGCCTCAAATACATATTTGGCATTGCCTATCTATTGCATCTTGCAACATGAACCGTTTAGAAAAAACAAGGTAATAAGAAATTAAAATGACAAGCTTTGATTCATGAATCCTCACCTGTAAATCCAGAGATAGAGGAACTTCAGTTTCTTCCATCTTCGCAGCCAAAGATAAACAGGCCACAGCTAGCAATTGGGTCATCCAAGCTTTCCCTTTCTACATATAAAGATCAAAGGGAAAAAAATTAATGAAATTTAACTGATTAATCGAATATAAACATCACTACAAATCAAAAGTACACATTGTAGGCTAAGCTGCATTAAAATACCAGTAAATGGTTAGCAAAATTCTTACAGGGAGTTCATAGGTCGAGAGAAACCGGTCAAGATAATTTACAGATAGATAGGCACTAAGAGGTCCAAAGCTGTAATAGGCATGAACCTGCACATTTCAGTGCAATTTCCCATTAATCAAACCCAGATAAGCAAGAATATTAGGAGAGCAACAAAAGCAGATGAATAAACAAAAGAGAAAATAAAATCTTTCTGCTTATCAGAACTGGTTGATGGAAAAGGAAATAAAGCACATACAGAGCAACAGTTCTAAAGTTAAAGCAAGACAAACAATTCATATATCAGCATCAAAACAAAAGGCATATGGCATCAAAGAACAAATTCATTGAAAAGCCAGCACAGCAAAATCGCAAAAAGAAACTAAAAATATGTGATTCACAGCAGAAATTAATCAAAAAAAGAAACAGTTAACAACTTTATGCTATTTATGAATGGAAAAGTGGATGAAACTGCATCTAAAGCATTCAAGATTAAACTCATTAATCCCCTCCAACTCCTCCTCCAAAAACTCTATTGGTGAAACTCTAATCAAGCAAGAAAAAAATTTATTGTCCAAATCCAGCAGTTTAATCAAGAATAAAGTAAGGAGGCACCTTCCAAATCCAATCAACAGCATCCATTCTTACAGACATGTCCAATGCCCCACTGATCAATCTCTTGGCATAATCTCTTGTTGGGAGATGTTCAGATTCCTTCTCCATCAACAAAAACAAGCATTCCTCAGACTGCAATGGGAAAACCTTGAAGGAATCTCGGAAAAAAGCAGTCTTTTGGTCCAAAATCTTCCCAAGTCCACTCCCATGAACTTTTCCATTTATGGCCAGCTCTTCATCATCATCAAATCCCAGGATGCTACTGTTGTCCTCAGGGCATAGGAGGATGGAAGAACCATAGTGATAAATAACTCCCATTGCAGTCAGATCAGAGCTCTGTGAAGTGTTAGAGATAGAGATGAACTCTCTTCTCCTTGCTTCTCCTCAAGTGTTGTCACCTGTCATGGAGAAGTCCAAAGGGAAAGCTTCCCCATTTTGTGTGTGCTCAGTGACTTGGAAAAAGGAGAAGGGAGAAGAAGAGAGGAAGAGAGAGAAACTACTGTTGCATAGAGGAAGGGAGAAGTATAAGATGGATGGATGGATGGATGGTGAGAGTATTTAGGGCAAGTGAGAGGTTGAAAAAGGAGGTAAAAAATAATTAATTAACAGTAATAATTTTGGTTCATTGGTCTGACCAAAAAATGATGATATTTTTTTTTTTTTGGAGGAAGGAGATTATCAGCATATGATAAGCTGTGCCAGAGTTGATTTGAGGCCAGGGAAGTAGTAAATTGCATATCTAACCTTTGCATTCCATTTTGCAATATTAATGATAAATTAAATACTTAATCATACTTATCTCTTCTTATATATAGTCATTAACATTATAAATATCTCTTCTTTGTTTTTAAAAATTGCACTTAACAAACTCTAGGTTAATGGATTAGTATTAACATGTTGTGTAATATATTACAATAAAGAAAATAAATATAATTTTAGAAAATAAATTATTTGATATATAATGTAATATTTTACACATGGAAGGCAAATGTAATTTATGGAAATACACATAGATATGTATAATATTGATTATTTATATGAGAGATAATCATAATGAATTCAAAATTTTAATATAAACTTAATGAGTGCAAAATATTTTTTTAGTGTACTTTCATTAAAAATGTATGAGTTTTGGGTGAAACTCTTTGAGTTCCTTCGAATATATCACTGAAACTCTTAAATGTTTGCTCTTGAAAAAGTTTGATATTCTTTCATAAGTTGATACAAGCTTGACTTTCACTCCTAAAAAAGCCCAATTAACTATTTTATTTTATTTTTTCTTCTTTGTATTCTCCTTAAATCCTTTTTAGATCAATAATTTTGCATTATCATAAGACTTGTCTTTTTAGACAAAATGAATGAAGCATTGGTGCATGAATATTGATCTCTTCACCTATCAAGCCATTGCATGTCCAAAAGCTACCATCTCTTGCTCTAGTTGAAAATATATCTAACACCATCTTTGGAGATACAATATTGTTGCCCTTTCATAAAAGATAGTGTCTTTATTCAATAGAGATGGTCTTTCAAATATAACTAGATAGATGTTGAGAGGCACCACTTTACACATTACCTCGTTGATGTATTTTTTATTAATAATGAAGAGGATGTGGCATTATTAATCAATTTTCATATCCAAGTTCTTATGAAACCAATTGAGAGGGAAAGGATGTAGGTTAAAAGTAAACTTGAGAGCCAACCTTATAGCTAAGCTGGTTAAGATCAAACTCTTTTAATTCCTTAAATTAAAGGTGGTGTAAACCACTTGACTTATATTTGCAAGGTGAGCATCTCCTCATGTTCATTAGTGTCTAATATTAAACTTGAATCCTCTCGCTTTAATTAAGTAAATGCTAAAATAATGTTGATTTGCTACATTTAAATTTTGTTGTTTGTTGATTGAAGTAGCTATATTATCCCCCCTCATCATCTTGATTGAATTTCTCTAGGGAAAGTTTGAATGAAGCTTCCACTACTCAATTATTAGTTTAAAATTTCAATCAACATCCCCTAATACTTGCTAATGAACATCATCTAATATTTGTGAGTCATTTCCATCCAAGACTAATCTTCCCAAACACCCTATCTCCCCTTATAAAAAAAGAATAGCTAAGCCAATAACCTTTAATCATCAGACATTTGACATTCCCATGCCATCATCTAACACTACCAATGCTTAAAGTTTGGTGGTATTGAACTTTCTTTTGGGATTGGCTGATCACTCTTTTGTGGTAGTTTAAATCTTAACTCTAATATATAAGAGTCTTATTCCATAAAGATGTAGTGACCCTACCTCTCTAAACTAAGTGGTTGCAACTTGTCGATAGTGAAGTCATTACAAACCCTTATATGACCCTACATCTTTATGGAATAAGACTCTTATATATTAGAGTTAAGATTGGTTAGTCTTGAAATTCATGGCTTGGCCTGGCCTAGTAGTAAATCCAAATAATAGACTATGCATAATTAACTTGGTAAACCATAAAGATCGAGCCTAACCTTTTTAAAAACATAATCTTGCTCAATTGAATCTAGTAGATTAGATGACTTTACCTAGGTCTTAAGTGACCTTACTAACTTATTATGTTTTAATGAACTTACCAAACCTTAATATAGTTGAGAGAGAAAGTCCGAGAAATTAGGGAGAAATTGCGGGTTATTCATATTTTGATTTCATAGGTTTCACGGTTTCTCTGATGTTGGCGGAGGGTCACCGGCCTCCTTTGGCCGGTGGTTCGTTCGACATCCGGCTTTCTTCTTCAGGAAGCTCTTACGCTCCAGTTCGTTCATTCTCATCATCTCCATCGGCGTTTGGAGATGGGAAAGCTGGCTTTGCTCAAGGTGCAAAATCAAAGCTTAACAGTGAAATGCCTTTAATCATTAACAAAGGTGGTTTGTTGTCGTTGAAGAAAGAAATTGAAGTTATTGGTAAGGGAAAGAGTGTTGTAGTTGAAGACAATGTTAAAATCCATTTCAAATCTGGGTTGCTTCCAAATTTAAGAGGCAAGTCGGTGTATAATGCTTGTGCCTCTTCTTAATCAAAGCCTATGATCGTAATGGATAAAGTTGAAAATGATAATTATGTGTGCGGAGTCTCTGAGGGATTGGCTTCTAATTGTGTTCATCTAGGAGGAATCAGCTCAAAAGTTAATAAAGTTGCTGAAGGTAATATGACTGAAATAAGTGTTAAAGGTCCCGACAAAGCAAATGACTCTGTGAAAGAATTACATTCAAACCCGGTAAAGGTTCGAAATTATAATTTAGGAGATCTTAGAGATTGTTTTGGTGGTCTTGCAGCAGCTCGATCTCGACCATCTTGTAGTGCACAGTAAAATGCTTGGAGTAAGAAGGAGAATATAAAAGTCCTAGATTTGGACTTTGGTGATTGCTTTTCTGATGATGGTTCATTCGTTAAACTTCATTTACAGAATTAATTAGAGAATTCTAAGAAGCTTCAGAATTCATTGGTGATCAAGGTCTTTGGTAGAAACGCTTCATCTCTAGTGATTAGTTCGGAACTAAGAAGGCAATGGTCCCAATTTGGTAGATTCCATCTCACAATGCTTGGTATGGATTGGGTTCTATGTTCATTTTATGAGCCAGAGCCTTTGGAATCAGTCTTCTCTATTTGGCCATGGTATGTTAATGGGCATATCATTGGAATTGATAAATGGTCTCGAACCTTTTCTCCTACCTCCTTAAAGGGTTTAACTCCTCCTATTTGGATTAGGATGCCTAATCTCCCCTTATAATGTTGGGATGAAATAAATGTTTGCATAATTGCATCTATGGATGGAAACATGTTTCAGTGGGGAAGAAGGGAGTTTAGGAGGATTTGTATCCGCATCATGTTGGATGCTAAATTGCCACTAGGTGTTTGGGTAGAGTGAAGCTATGGGAAATTCTTTTAGAATATTGAATATGAAAGACTCCCCAATTTCTATTTCAACTATGGTAGGATTGGGCTTCAAGAAGGATTATTTGGAGAATAAAATGGAGGTTTATCTTGCTTCTAAAAAAGTGGATAGTTTAAAATTCCAATAGTGGAAGATAATCCCAAAGCTACTCATGAGGTTGTGGTTGAAGGTTCTTGTGATGATAAAGGAGGTTATAGACCATGTGTACATGATAATTATGGAAAAATGAGGATTAAAAAACATGTTTTTAGGAGGTTTAATCCCCGTCCATTGGACGTCACTGTGAGGAAGGAGCCTGGATTAGTGAATCCCAATCCTAATGTAAAAGAAGCTGAAGTTGTCAAGGTTTCTATTGAAGGAGGTTTTATAGAGCTTGTTCAGGGAGTGACAGAAGTCTATCCTTTGGTTCATGTTGGGAGTTTTGTTCTTGTTCAGGGAGGAGTTCAAAATGATGTTCTAGTTTCAGACTTGATTCAGGAATGTCTGGAGGAATTACTGGCTCTGAAAATCAAGGAGGGCGTGTTTACTAAAACTTTTGTTATTTCTATTACTAAAAAGAAATTCAAAGTCTTTGATGGTTTGGTTGAGGAAAGAGAAATGGTTATTCCAGAGAAAGTTATTTCTACGTCGCCCGGTGGTTTGGATGGGAATAATAGACTGGGGGAAGGAAGTATAAAGATAAATATGGGTGTGTTGAATGGTGATTTGGGCTGCAAAGAAGGTGGTTCTTCTAATATCAAAAGGAAAGGTTATAAGCAACTCAAAGGTTTGGGTCCTATTAACTTGGCTCCTATGAGTAGGAGAGTGGAGGGTGATAAAAAAGATAAAGTGGGGATTTCATCCCCTCTGATTCAATAATGTATTTATAGCTTTTTGAAATTGTAGAGGAGCTAGGAAAAAGAAAGCTTCTCTATATCTCAAGGAGTTTGTGAAGGATCATGATGTATTTTTTTTTTGTGTGTTTGTTGGAAACCAAATTATATGTTATTAATAGAAGGGATGTTGATTTATTAATTGGTTATGAGTGGGATTTTTGCCAAGTATCATCAAAAGGATTGTCTGGGAGCATTCTATTGGTATGGAAGTCTAGCATTGTGACTTTTAATGTTTTAGAGTCCTCTCTCCAATTTGCTATTGGGGAGTTAGAGGTTCTTAATAAAGGAAGATGAAGGATTGCTTCAATATATGGGAATACATATGTTTATAAAAGAAGGATTCTATGGGAGAGGTTGGAATTTTATTCTTCCAAGGACTTGCCTGTAATATCAAAATCTGCTCCAGGATCGTCCAGGACGATCTGGGATCGTCCTGGGACGATCAGTAGTGAATTTGCTCCAGAATTTGCCTAGATTTTCTCTATGTGTTTTTCTGTAAGCATCGTCCAGGCCGATCGAGGCGTCGGCCAGGCCGATGTGCACTGTTCAAAATATCGGCCGAAAAATAGTCCTGGGAACCGTCAAGGACGATCAAATTTGGTCTGATCGTCCTGGGACGATCTGGCGATCGGCCGGGCCGATCTGAGTATTATAAAGCTGAAATCAGTCGTTTTGAAGAGAGAGAAAATTTTATTAAAATGAAAATATCTTTTGAGGAGAGAGAAAGTCGAGGAATCTTTTGGAAAAG